TAGACTAGCTCGTTGATCAAAACATGGTTAGGGTTTCCTGGCCATAGACATGAGTTGTCGTTTGATAACGGGAGAATGATATGATGGACAAGACCCATCCGTTAGCATAGCATATGATCGTCCAGTTTATTGCTACTGTTATCTTAATGTCGAATACATGTTCCTTCGACCATGAGATCATGTAACTCCTGGACTCCGGAGTAATGCCTTGTGTGTATCAAACGTCACTTCATAATTGGGTAATCATAAAGATGCTCTATAGGTATCTCCGAAGGTGTCTATTGGGTTGGCATGGATCGAGATTGGGATTTTTCATTACACATGACGGAAAGGTATCTCTGGGCCCTCTCGATAATATAGCATCACAAGAAGCTTGCAAGCAAATTGACTAAGGAGTTAGTTAAAAGATGATGTATTACAAAACGAGTAAAGAAACTTGCCAGTAACGAGATTGAACTAGGTATGGAGATACCGACGATCGAATCTCGGGCAAAAGTAACATACCGACAGACAAAGGGAACTGCATGTGTTGTCATAAAGGTTCGACTGATAAAGATCTTCGTAGAAGATGTAGGAACCAATATGGGCAGCAGGTCCCGCTATTGGTTATTGATCGGAGAAGCGTCTCGGTCATATCTACATCATTCTCGAACCGGTAGGGTCCACACGCTTAACGTTCATTGACGATATAGTACTGTATGAGTTATGTATGTTGGTGACCGAATGTTGTTCAGAGTCCCGGATGAGATCACGGACATGACGAGGAGCTCCGGAATGGTCGGGAGGTAAAGAATGATATATAGGATGATAGTATTCATTCTTCGGAAGGGTTCTGAAATACACCGGATAATTATTGGATCACCGAAAGAGGTTCCAGGAGGCCACGGGGATTTGTTGGGCCTAACAGGCCAAAAGGAGGAGAGCACACCAGCCCACAAGAGGGCTAGCGCACCCCACCTCCTCGTCGTCAGCCCTAGGAAGAAAGGAGGAAGGGTCGGCCCCCTCCTGCCTTTCTTCACACAAGGGAGATGGAAGGGGAGGCGCCCTAGGGGCCGCCGGCCCCCTTTCCTTCTCCTCACGCACCAAGTATGGAAGGGGGCGCCTTGGCAGGCGCCCTAGGGCAGCCACCGGCCCCCCTTGGGGCGTGCCCTAGGTTGCCCCCCTCCCCCTCCACCTATATATGTGAGAGGAGGGGAGGGGCGCCACACACCACGATTCATCAAGCCGTGTGTCGGTGCCCCCTCTCCCTCTAGTTCATCATTCGCTCTGAATCCGTTGTGCTTGGCGAAGCCCTGCAGAAATAGTTTCACCACCACCATCACCATGTCGTCATGCTGCCGGAACTCATCTACTACTTCGCCTCTCTTGCTGGATCAAGAAGACGAGGACGTCATCGCGTTGAACGTGTGCTAAACGCAGAGATGCCGTACGTTCGGTGCTTGATCGGAACGGATCATGAAGGTGTACGACTACATCAACCACGTTGATAAATGCTTCTCCTTGGCGATCTACAAGAGTATGTAGATGTTCTCCCCCTCTCGTAGCTATGCATCTTCATGGATAGATCTTGCGTGTGCGCAATTTTTTCCATGCAACGTTTCCCAACAGACATGCCTTTAGGAGGGGCAATGATGGTGGTGAGCCTTTGGCTCGCTCCAGTGACAATAATTGTTGCTAGATGGTCTATGGGCATTGTTGTAATTTTTTTATTACTTCTGCTCTTCTTTGTACTATCATATGACAATTGATGAATAGATCAAATGTTTTTCCAAAAAAGGGACCACATGCTTTTTTTATGAAGATGCATTTATTTCTTAAAAGGCGTGTGTTTCCACAAAGACATGCCCTTTCACTAAGGGACATGTCTTTTTAATTAAAGGACATTTCACCAAGGGGCTTGTCTTTTAGCTCAAGGACATGATTGTTCGTAGCCTCCAACTGTCAAGATCTAGCGGACTTAATTACTACTAATGTCGACCCTGAGGGAGGGGAGGGGCGAGAGGGGTGGTTGCCCCGGGGCTCTGAAACAAAGGGGCTCCCTTCCGAGGTATGGGCGAGCACAAAGCAGATAGCATCCTTGTCCCAATAGCCATTCAAGCACTAGAGACCTGTTCAATCGGTTTTCCTTTTAGCAAACTGGGCCTTAGGACTTTCTCTAGGTGGAATGATATTGGTTAAGTGGTGCTGGGCCTCGGTAGTTTTGGCTAATACTAGCTCTAATTCGTTTTGGTGCTCTGTTTTGGGGGAGCTCCTATACAGCGCTTCAGGCGTCCGTTAACGATCCGGCGCCTGCAGCGCTGCTAGCATGGGCCGGCCCACTAGCCTGCTGCCCTAATTTTTTTTAGTTTTATCTTCAAAAATAAAAATATGAAATGAAGAAAGGTTTACAGATTTAAAGAAAAAAAGTTCATCCATTTGAAAAAGCATGTTCATATCTTTAAAAAAGGTTCATAAAATTTGAAAAAGTTCATCAACTTGAAAAAAAGTTCATTCAAATTGAAAAAAAGTTCATCCAATTTCGCAAAAGTTCATCAAATTTGAAAAAAATTCATAGAAATTGAAAAAATGTTCATGTACTTTTAGAAAAAGTTCATGGAACTGAAAAAAAAGTTCATAAGTAAAAAAAAGTTCATCCATTTTCAAGACAAAATGTTCATTAAATTTAGAAAAAGTTCAATAATATTCAAAAAAGTTCATCAATCTCAAAAAAGTTCACAGAATTTTCAAAAAAAAAGGTCAACCGGCGCCCCTATGGGCCGGCCCATTTACGGACGCCACAGGCGTCAGTTAACAAAATGCATGTTAACTGGCGCCTGCGGCGCCAAATAGGAAATCCCCTGTTTTGGGGCATTACCTATGCGGGGCCTTAAGCGCCGCTTAAGGGCC